GAGAGATATTGCGTCCCATGTGATACTATTTCTACTCTAGGACGTCTCCTTTTCCGAGAACGAACGCTGAATGGCGAATACAAATGTTGCGGCTGTACGTGCAAGCTACGCGGGCAGTGGCAATAAGTCCGCGGTATATATCTGGCGCGTTGTACACGAGAGAGACGACGGGAGCGCAGCGTGACACTGTGGATTGGTGTAGGTCAAGAACGAATCTGCACTCGTGATATCGGACTATTGTCACAGGAAAACAGAGCATTTCGCGTCAGTCAGAAATTTTTCCGCATGAGGCACACCTCAGACTGCGTTTTGTGGACGGACTCGGAAAATGCGAGGGTATCCCCTCGTTCGTTGGAACATCGGGGATTAACTATCGTATTCTCCTGAGAAATATAGAACTGATGCGGTGGATATAGCGCGGGTGCCAATATCTCATATCAATATTTTCCCTTTTGTTTTCAAAATTCTAGGCGATTGTGGAGCTGAAGCCGATTGTGAAAATCTTCGGCGAAGATTTTTTTTAGAGCATTTTTCCGGATCTGTGCGGAACGCTTTTCCGGACACTCCGAGAATTATTTTTTGACATGTTTTGTCATGAATTGTTAAACGTTAAGTCAGTGGAAACCCTGAAAATTTAGCGATGAGGACACTTGTTGGCTTTATTATTATTTATTATTCACATTTAACCTTAGAACATCAAACCTTTGCGATAATTTTGTTAGTTAAAATTTGAAGGTCCAAATTTGATTCGCATTTTGAAACATTTTTTAAATAAAAAAAAATCGTAAATCCACTTTGAGAGTAAGATCCATTAAAAAAATTGTGAACAATTAATTTTCCTCAACTTTTAGCTCAACTTTCTTGTTTTCTGCTTTGTAAATTCGAAGTAAATCAGGAATTGATCTGCATTGCGCATAGCTCAGACTGTATTTTAATGAATAGAGTCGGATAATTCTACGAGGATATCCCCTCGTTTATTGAAATTATCTTTGGGGATTAACTATTATATTTTCCTGAGGAAAATAGAATCCGCCGATGCCAATATCTCATACCAATATTTTCCCTTTTGTTTTCACAATTCTAGGCAATTTTGGACCTGAAGCCGATGGGGAAAATCTTCGGGGAACATTTTTTGTTAGAGCGAAATATGGGAACTTTATTTATAGTCGATCGCTGCATTTTTCCGGATTTGTGCGGGACGCTTTTCCGGACATTCCGAGAATTTTTCTTCGTCATGTTTTGTGTGTTTGATACGCCTGATGAATTATTAAACATAAAGTCAGTGGAAGCGCTGGAAATTTAGCGATGAAAACACTTGTTTTCAGGATTCAGACTAAAATAACGGCGAGTATTCTCTTTGAAATAGTGCCGAAAACACCTGTTGGCTTTATTATTCTTTGAAGAAATATGAGAGCTTTCATTTTACCCCCATTTTACCGTAGAACACCTTTAAAAATGAGTTTGTTATTTAAAATCTGAAGGACTAAATTTTTTTCTCCATTTTGAAGCGTTAGGAAACATTCTAAAAATGAGAAAAAAATGGAAAGTCCATTTTGAGAGCAAGATTTACAAGAAAAAGTATAAGCAATCAATTTTCCACTGCGGAGAACGTTTTTTTGGAATCGTAAAAAATTTATCTATATTATAAAATTAATTAAAAAAAGAAATTTCCGTCTGATTTTTAGGCTTCAATCACTAGAACTTAATGACAAAACACTTCTTTTCAGGATTTTTCACTAATTCATTTTCACCTGAACTTTTTAACTAAATTAGAATTGCGCAACCTTTTTTTCTGCGTATTTGGTAGATGCAAAGATTTCCTCCAATATTTCTAATGAAATGTCCTAGCATTCATTTCAACCCTATTCAATCCTAAAACACCAAACATTTTGCAATGATTTTATTATTTAAACTCTGAACTTATAAATTTAATTCTTTGTAGTAACATTTTAAAAATCGAAAAAAATTAAAAGTCCATTTCTTGAATAAGAATTCATTTATAAAAATATAAACAATCAATTGTCCACCGTAAAAATCACTTTTTCAAAATCTTAATGGCTTGATTTACAAAGTGAGAATAAAATTTTTCGAATGAAAAATTTCTATCGTTTATTTATAACAAAATAAAGTATTAAAAAAATTGAATGCAGTTCAATTTCTAAATTTGATAATTGAAAATCACTAAATGTGTGGGGTAGTCGGTACAAAAAAAGTAAAAAGTACTCGAATATCCCCAGATCAATAGCGAAATCATCGAATAAGAATGGCGAAAAGTGAATAATCTCTCAATTCCGGCGATGATAAAATACCCGCCTCCCCCCTCGCGTGTCTCCCATATACATCTCACTGACGAAAAAGAATAATAGATGTGGGTGGTTAATTGCCCCGGAGAGAAGCCCCCGTACAAAACAAATAAGCACAATTACGCTGACCCGATTGATGTTGAAACCACTCTGTAACTCACTGGGTCGTCGCGAAGACGAACGAATTGACCCAGGTCAGACACACACGGTACGGCTTTGTGTCGTCCTGTGCTCGATGAATCAAAAGTTGCAGCGCAAATGGAAAGATGAATGAGGATAAAAATCGAGAGGAATTCAACGTCGTGCGTCGCTGTATAAAGTTGAATAAAAATATTCTGCATAAAGCAGTCACAAAAGAATAAACAATTCATTCTTATCAAATAAGTGAGTTGTTTAGTTGAAATTATGTATTATTGAAATTAATAGAACAATTTTGAATAACTATTTTCTTTTCAATTCGAATGCGTAATTTCTCATCAATCCATCAACGATAATTATGATTCATCTAATTATATAATTTGAAAAAAAAATTGAGATAAAGCTTTTATCCAGACTTAAACTTGATTTTTATTTGAATTTTTATTCACGCCGGATAAACTGCATTTTTAACACGGAAAATGCTTCCGCGATCGTAATGAAGACGTCATTAGTTAGAAATGGAACGAATGAATTATTTATTGCAAACAAATATTGTTAAAATATTTATACAATGGAAAATTTTCAAATAATGCGTTTTATTCAATTCGAATGCGTAATTTTCTAGGTGCAACTAATTATATACTTTGAAAAAAAAACCTCGAAATAAAATTTTTACCCAGATTTAAATTTGATTTTTATTTGAATTTTTATTCACATCGGAGAAATTGAATTTTTAATAGGAAAAATACTTCCGCGATCCAAATAAAGACGTCATTAGTTAGAAATGGAATAATTGTTTGGAAGTTGGAGACAGTTAATTTATTAAACATGTAATGATCCTTTACTTGGGTGGAATGAATCGTTCGTTCAATTCAAATAGAGAATTTATGAATTGGACGAATGAATGATTTATGACAAATAAATATTGTTAAAATGAATGGAAAATTTTCAGAGAATTAATTTTATGTGAATATGAATATGAATGCGTCATTTCTCTAGGTCTAGGAACCATCGAAGAAAATTATTATTCATCTCATTATTCAGGTTGGAAAACAGCTAAAAACTACAAAAAAATTTCGTTCATCCTAAGCCCGTATTGGGTAACCGGTGATTTTTATGTCTCGCTAACCCTACCCAAATATACGTGGGTATTCCCGTGGACTTTGGGCCTTGTAGCATCCAAATGGAATGCGTTTTATCCTGAATTATCGAAACACCGGGTCTCGATCGATATCACGGACATTCCAGGAATTAAATATTGCGGTAAATGCGGAAGAGAAATTTCACGCACAATTTTTTTTCAATAATATAGGCACAGCGATTCATTTAGAGAATACTTCTTGTATCTAATCGCAGCGATAATATAATATTTTTTTATCCCATCTTATTTGAAATTATATATAAAATAGGAGAGGATACGTTTCAATAATTTTTTCATATAAATAATTTTTTATAGTAAACTTATACTAATTTTTTTATAGGGGGTGACAGTCGTGATTAGATAAAACATCCCCCATTTTTTTACGTGACCCGTCAAAACACTAATTAATTCGGAAATTTTCAAATATTTTACGATTTTTTCACTTGAAATTGATAGCAATTACCTGCAATAATGCAGACATTTTTGAAAATTTCAAGATTTTTCAATAAAATTCTCATTGCATTCCCTTCCTTTCTTCTTGTTTCTTTATTTCTTTATTTCTGTCAGACAGAAAGTCTCACAATTTTTCTCATTTTTTCGCAAAACCCCTTAAAAGACTACTTTACCAAAACCATTTCATGATTTTTTACTTGAAATTTCATATCATTTCTTTCTCTATTTCTCATTTATTCGTTTTTTAATAGTATGTTTGCAGATATCTATTACACAATTTTATTATTCTTTCCCATGAAAGACACCCCTAGTTTACCAAAGCCACTTGATGATTTCTCACTTGAAATTTACAGTAATTCCCTGCGATAATGCATCCACTTTCCAAAAATCCACATGTTTCCTCAACATTCCGACACGGAGAGAAATATTCAATAAAAATTACGTATCTTTTCCGTAATTCCGGAGTGAAATGTGGTTGTAGGAAATTTTACGGAACTGTCACGAAATTTCTCCAGAGCGTTCCGTAATTTTTATCTGACTCTCCTGTGAAAAATTACGATATCGTCACTTGAATTTTCTCAGTCGACTCCGTAATCGGTAAGCGAATTGTGAGTTCCGTAATTTTTATCTGACTCTCCTGTGAAAAATTACGATATCGTCACTTGAATTTTCTCAGTCGACTCCGTAATCGGTAAGCGAATTGTGAGTTCCGTAATTTTTACTGAACATTTTTCTCCGTGTGAGGGAAATCACCCAACAGATAAGACAACACGAAAATTATACAGCTAAAAGTAATCGATACCTCTAATTTCCAAATGGTCACCATGACGCTGGACAACCTGTTAAACGATCGGGGATTATCCAATTTTTTTGGGGGGAACCCAACATGCTGTACCGGAGGGCTCATCGTGTGGAGGCAGGCCCGGTGTCGGGAGCGCAAGATAAAAGTGAGGGAGGATCCAAGTTGCGTGAGTGGAGGGAGGTGGCATCAACGCTCTTCGAGTATATATGCGAGAAGCAGATCGGCTATGGTACAGTTCACCAAGAGACAATACAGAAAAGAGACTAGTTTCCAGATACCTGAGGAGACCTGTTGAATTTTCGCAATCTATATTTTTTTATCACCTGAGTTTTTTCGGACAGTGAAACATTTCAGTGATAAAGTGTGTGAGCTTTGGAGTTATTTTTTTGGAGATCGAATTTTATTTTGCATCAGAGTTTGGATAAGAGGCATTATGAGGAGCATCAAGGAGTTGAGTTTTTCCACTGTTGTGAGTCTGATTGTTCTTGTGGCACTCATGCCGGAATTCACATACGCCAGACCTGCCGCAGTGACGATGGGGTACGATTTCTTGATATTCAAATTTTTTAATATTCGTTTCGTTGATTTCATCTCATTTGTGATAATAAATGATAGAAATTCATGTGCTAGCACTAGAAAAATTGTGTTACGCCGGAAAAATTCGGTAGCGAAATGGTAAAATTGTTCAAGTCAATTTCGACTATTTTTCGGGTTTCAATAAATATCTTGGAATCTGAATTAAATTTTTCTAGAAAGTCTTTCTCCGCGTGCATTTTAGTACGCGGCATTATTTGTTCAATAGCATTTCTGCGATATATTCACTAAAATATTGGTGATAATAGCAGAATAAAATCAGTCATAGAGCGAATTATAGAATTCGCGAATTCGCAAAAATATCGAATCATTTTTTTTAAATTTTTATCGATCATGCTAATTGCATCATTTTTTCACGATAACTCCTACCACATATTCACTAAAATAGTAGTGATTATAGCAGAGAAAAGCCAATCAATGGAGCGAATTATAGATCTCACAAATATCAAAAATTTCCGAACATTTCAGAATTCGCAAAAATATCGAATCACTTTCTTTTAATGGTTATCGATCATTGAAATTGCATGATTTATTCAATAGAATTCCAGCCACATATTCACTAAAATAGTGGTGAGAATAGCAGAGTAAAGCCAATCACGGAAGCGAATCAGACTTCACAGATATAAAAATTTCCGAACATTTTGAGAATTCGCAAATGGAAATCTCGAATCACTTTTTTCCAACTCTTATCGATCATTCAAATTGCACGATTTATTCAGGAGAATTCCTCTCACATATTCATAAAATACTAATGACAATAGCAGAGTGAAGCCAGCTAATGAAGCGAATCAAAGATTTTCCAAATATCAAAAAATTCCGAACATTTTATAATTCGCAAATGGAAATATCGCTTGGCTTTTTTCAAATTCTCATCGATCATTCAAATTGCATCATTGCACAAGTCATTCCTCGGGAGAATGACCGAAGGATTGAAGTGCATGAAAGAAAAAAAAAATGCGCACGATGCAGCTGGTTGTAGTCCGAGCGGCTGATGCAACATCATTAGTTATTTTCGGTCGCATTGGGATCATTTTATTTCGATCCGCGGGGTAATGATGACTCGAGGAAATCCCGAAATCGTTGAAACCTGCTCTGCGGGGCTTCTTCTTGAGGAAATAGTTCATTGGGAGGAAATAGGTCGAACGCTTGCAGCGGGAGAAATGTTAATGTTTGTTTTTTTTATTCTTCAGCCGCCACAAACGCACGTCGGATCAACGACTCGCCGAGCTGGAGACGCTCATAGCTCTAGAGAATTTGCGCGGCAAATTGGTGACGGTACCTGTTGGGTTCGGCAAGGTGGATCCCGCGAAAATGTAAGTGGAGTTATTTGTCATTATTAAATTAATTATGCATTAATTATGTTGCAATTAATTATGTATTAATTATATTGCAGTTAATTATAATGTATTCAATTATATTGTATTTTATTATATTTTAATGTATTTAATACATTTTATTGTATTAATTCAGTAGCGAAGTGGTAAAACGGTTTAAGCCGATTTTGACTATTGGCCAGTTTTCAGTGAATATCTCGGAATCTAAGGAAGGTAGCTAAATTTTTGTTAAAACCTTTTTTGTAGCACTCAATTGGCTCTAGAAAAAAGGTTATTACGAAAATTTCGTTACCTCCTCTCGATTTGGAGATATTCTTCAGAAACTCAAGTAAGAGATAAGTCGACCACTTCGCTACTGAATTATATTGTAATTAATTATGTAATTAATTATATTGTTCTTATGGATTTTCCGCGTTTGGTCTTGATTGGCCATTAGGGTTGAACGGTAGTCAATTAATTTGTAATTGTAATTAGATAGTGAAGGGGTGATCGCAACGGAATGAAACAGAATTGATTCTTCATGTCTCGTTGAGTATTTAATTTAGTCGTCTCGATGATGAGCGATTTTAGGGGAAAATGTTCGGGAACTTTTTTTACTTCATCTAGCTATCAATGGACACGATCCAATATTGGGTCTGGGATGAGTCACGGGCGAGCGATATTAGCATAATCGGTTGAAACTATTTCACAATGTATTGAAAATTCTTCGCGGCTCTGCATTTCTGTCTTTTCGTCGATGAAAAATATTTGTGGTGGGATGAATATTTAATGGGAATAGGGTGATTAAGGAGTGAGTAGGCAAAAATAAGGGGAAACGGGAGAGAACAAGTGGATTCTTTGCATCTTGTTGAGTGCAGAATATTCCTGGAAATGATTGGCTTGGGAGAAAATTTGAAAATTTTTTATTGGACATTAATCATCTCTTCGATTCGATTTTTTTGATTCCAGCAATGAATAATAATTGCAATTGAGTCGATATTGGAATATTCAATTAAGTAGTACAAAATATTGAAATACTCATGAAAATTCTCATTTTTAAACGATATTTTCATTGATTTTGAGGGATGAAGTAGTAAAACGTAAACGAAAACAGAAATAAAAAATTGGATTTTCCACCTTTTTTGAATATTAAAGAAGAATTTATGCGTAAATTTATTCATCTACAAAAGAGGCTTCACCGCACAACTACTGAAATCCTCTACACTGTTAGAAATTTTTCGAAACTCAAGTAACATTGTGAATTCAAATTCAATTTAATAGTTCATAAAACGTCCCACTCATCTTAAAAATCCAATAAAATTGAGAACTTGAATTTTCAGACGCATTGTGAAAATTGAACATCACATTTAATTGAATTTTCAAAATATTGGGAATTCATAAAAATAACTTCTTCAATTTTCAACATTTCCAATCATTTTCATTGAAATCTGAACGTGAAAATTGGAATTCCATTGAATATTCACGAAATTAACTCATTCATCGATAACAAAATATCTGGAAATTTCATGTTAATTTATCGTCTCTGAAAACTTCAAGATGTTTCTCTCAAAATTTCAAGAATAATTATTTTTTATTTATTAATTCATTCAGTCGCCTTTACATCGGAGTAATTAGTGGCTATTTATAAAAGAAAATATACAAAAAAGGAAGAACAAATAGAATAATGCAAGCAAAGTCAAGAATAATTGTTCAACCGTGTAACCATATTAATAATATTTTTAAAAAAATGATAATTTTTCCACTACGATAAAAAACTCTTCGCTTTCTCCATCCGCGAAATATCGCGAGTGACTAGATTTCCAAGAAACTCCCCGAGAGCTCAAATAATCCCACACACAGGAGTGACGAAGAGCCGATAAGAGGCACGCGTCAAAAGGATGAATAAATTCACGTAACATTACATAAAACAGAATCACGATACTATCCGTGAGTAACTCGTCCCTGATTCGACGTCCAGCCCAACGATAACACAGCCGAGTGATCAGTTATCTATTTCGTGAATTGGTGCAACGCTAATCGGCGAAGAATTTTCCTAGCCCCTCACTATCTCTGGATTTTCCCCATTCCACGACGCTCGAGCTCACCATGGGGAGTCATTTCGACGTTTGCTCTTCAAACCCCCACGGAAGAGGGCGAGCAATGATACCCCTGAGGTATTGCTGTCATACTGTCCTCGTAACACCAGCATAATCGAGTTACACCTGTTCGCGCTAACGTTCAGGAGTACGCGGCGAATAAATTTACATTCTAAGGCGATATTGCCGGTCTCAGGGTGAAAATTCATTTATTGGAAGATGGGGAATTGAGGGATAGACAGTGGAATTGATAAAATTTGACGCACGTTGCATCCGATCTGGAGCGAAGTTCATGAATTCAAATGCTGTTACGACGCGGAGAAAAATATTTGGTGAATTGCAACAAATATTTTCTCCCGCTGAGTTCAGTTTATTACCAGAAAGGTCTTTATGAAAATTTTGTTATTCAACATCGAATTCTGAAATATATTAGTCAATAAATAATCGTAAAGTAAAGATGAGTTGACTCGTTTAAAGAGAATGGAATTGAATAAAAATTTCGTGAATCGAACTAGATTTTTGTTATCCGGAGGGATTAGACATTTAATTTAATCTAATGGATGAAATTCAAGGGGAATCCCCGATTATAGATTGGAATAAATGAATGGCCTCGTAGTAGAGTCATAAAACCACTTCATTTTCTAAAGAATATCTCTAAATTGAATCGAAATACCGGAATTTTTATTTTAACTCCTTCGAAGCTTTTATTCTCCTCAGAAAATTAAAGTCATTTAGCTCAGTTTAAGAAAAGTTCCTTTGACTTCTGAACAAATATGTTTTTTCTATCTATTTATTATTCGGTTTATTCATTCAATTTGCTCTAATGTATTCAATTTATCGGGAATTCCCCTCATATTTTACACCAAACTAATAAAACGATTTCACTTTTCGAAGAATACCTCGAACCCACCGGAAACAGTGGAATTTTCGTTGAAACCTTCCAGCGGTTTTTATTTTTCCCCGTGAAAAATGTTCTCCATAAAAATTTATACTCTTCAGAAACCGATCGCAAAGTAAAACTCATCTCGTTTTAAGAAAATACTCCACTCCTAAATTAGCATATTTATCAGGAAAATACGCTACGCGTCCCCACAAATAGCGACAATTTTCATTCAAATTCTTTTCGCTCTCTCGTATCTGACTCAACATTCTTAAAAAATACTACTTCACTCCTGTCCAGAAATTCCTGAACAGGGATGGACAATAATATTAGATTTTGACAATATTAAAAAGGGGTTATCTCCTTATGATGTTCAAAGTTTAACTATATTTAACAAATTTAAAATATTATAAAATTTACTAACTAAATTTTCCGATTAATGGTGAATAAAATATTTGATAATATTGAAATGTAATTTGTTTAGTTAACAAGCTAATTCTAAATTTAGGTAATTGATTTTCAATTATCCGATTAAATTATTGGTTGATAGAATATTTCAAAATTTAAACGTAGAAATTAATGGTTAATTTAATATTTAAAATTGTAAGATTTATGTTAAAAATAGACGACTTCACAATTTAACGGTAATTTTGGTTGATTGATACGCCTATCACTGCTCCTGAATTTGTACCCTCGATTTGTTTACAGACTCGAAATTAGTAAACGTTGAATGAATTTTCCTTTTTACACCGGTGACGGTAATAGAGGTGTCATTGACGTCATCCGCGATAAATCATCGTCAGGAGCTACAAGCAATTGATTATCAACAGCGATTGTTGACGCGTGTCATTTAACATTATCTCACGTACCGGAATACCTTACCTTGTGGCACAATTACTCATGTTTTCCTCATTTTGTCTGTTTCCGCAGAGGACGCAGGAGGCGATCGAGCGTCGAGTTCGATCTGCAGAGACTCCGTCGTTTCCTTCAGGTGCTCGGGAGTCAGTCCGAGTCCAACAGCGAGGAGAGCAGCGAGGAGATATTCCCTTCGTTACTGGTGAGTTTACTCCATCGGTTTATTTCTTTTTTTCGTGTTATTCTATTAGTCTATTAGTTATCTGGCGTTTACATGTGCCGAGCGAACTTGTTATTTTTCTGGCGAATTTAATCGTCGAGGATTTTTCGAGATTACATGCGACGAATCATCCACGTGTGTTTACGATGGAGAGTTTTGGATTATCGTGTTGGGATTTTTTAATTTTATTCACTTGTCCTTCATTCTGACTCTTGATTCTGATCTTCGGTTCTCACTCGTGTATCGTTCAGATGATGACTTATAGCGATCGTTTATTTAATAATCATTATTGATGATTTTGGTTTATTTTGCCATTTTTATAATTCATTTTATTATTTTATCGATCATTATTTTTTCCATTATTTTGTTATTGATTTATTGATTATTATTGAAGATTTTGATTTTTGTTTATCGTTTTTTAAAAATAAATAAATTAAATAAATAAATAAATAAAATGAATCAAAATCATCAAGAATAATCAATAAATCAATCAATTTCTTAAAATGAATAATTTAAAAATTTTCAATTTTTAAAAATAAATGAAAAAAATTATTCAACTGTGGCGTTTTTGCACAGAAATATTGGGTAGAGAAAAAAATTGATTGGGATTTTTTTATAGAAATTCTTGGGCAGGAATTTGCAAAGTTTTCTCGGATGCATTTTATCTTTTACTCGTAATGAAGTTTAAGAAAATAAATCTTGGGAAATTCAACATCTATAGACTTTCTTCTGTTAATGATGTCTAGTAAAATTGCAATTGATTTTTATCATTTAGACGATGCCTGATATCAACCATTAATTAATTGATCATTATTTTTTTATAAAAAAAGACAAGTATGGAAAATTTAATACAAAAAATTCTATTAAAATTTTCTTGATCTTTCCTGCGAGGATTCTACTCGATAGGAAAACGTCAAAAGACTTTTATTTGTTCCTCGTAATAACATCCAAGAAATGAAAACGTGAAAAATTAATTCCCAACAATTCTTACAGAAAAAGTCCCAACAGAATGAATTATATAAAAAAATCAACATCTAAACTTTTTTCGATAGAAAAATATCTATTGAAAAACTCATGGAAAATTGACATAATATTTAATAGAATAGCGCAAAAATAATATAATTTTTTCTTATAATATTAATTGATCTCCAAAATTTCTTCACATGTGAATAATTTAACATTAATAACCCAGACATGCGAATTATTGTTATCTAATGACCATTCTCTTATTTTTGTCACAGCAGAACGAAGACCAGCGTGATGAAGATCTCGGAAATCAGCTGATATAACTTTAATCATACCTGCAAACAAAAACATCCATCCTCTGCGATTGCCAATAATTCAATTAAGGATGAAGAAACATTTGTGGAAAATGAAGAAAAGGTCTTCGATGCCCAACCAGTATTAGCCGCCTGTTCATCTCGCCGTTCACCATCTTCAGTCTCACATTTCATTTCCGAGATAATTCCATTCGTACGATTACGGGATTATAGATTAATTTAAATGTCCTCTCGGTGAAGCAATATTTTTGTAACTCTATGTGTTCTTCAGTTATCGCAGGTCTGTCTACTGCGTAGTATTTTTTTTTCGTAACGCAATCAACGTATTTTTAGGTATTTATTCGGTTCGTACTGCTGATTTAGTCTAGGTAGAATTTTTCAATTTATTTATTTGGCACTCATCATTGCTCGCATTGCTCCACGCACGAAACAATTTCATAGAAAAACCCAGCGATTTTAATGAACAATTCTATTGAATTTTCATGGGAATTCCTCGACACGAATTTTCCAAGTTTTTTACTCTATTTTTCTTTTTATTGAAAAAATCAAAGAAAAAATCGAGAAAATTTGAGCAGAGAATTTTCTATAGAAACTATTGCAGTAGAATAAATTGTACAGAAAAATCAAATTCCATTGATTTAAAAATGAAACATTTTTATTGAAAAAAAAAACATCGAAAACTAATGAAAATTCAATAGAATTTCAATAGAATTTTGTAGCGAATTGGCAAGATTTTCCTAGTAAATTTTTTCATACGTGTCATTCCATCTTGGTTTCATAGTCTTTAGGTTTTTTATTCAGATGAAAGGACAAAGAAAACTTCTTAGTTTCCAATTAGATCGCAATTGTATTTTTTTAGTTTTTAAATTAATTTTTGCGTCTGAAAATTGCATCGAAACTCGATCGATTGCCACGATTTTTACTAGTTTCAATGTATCAGCTCGATGATAACATTATCACCCTCTGAATTCGCAATTCATGGGTTTATCCTCGTTTCTCAAGCGTTCAAAGTTTACAATTAAGCCACGAATCAGCGATTTTTCTATTCTGAAAGAAAGTATCACGCGTTCGTAACTTTTCTAGTTAATTACTGTAATTATTAGTTGATTAATTGATCAATTAATTGACACGACTGATGGTTGTCAAGATGCCCCCTTAAATTATGTATTTATTGTTTCATAGTTAGACAAGTTTTGCTGGATTTTGTGGAGTTTTTTTTGCCACAAAATCGTTCCAATTTCCGACAGTATTCGATGATTTCATCCTTTATTCTTAATCATCGTCATTTATTTATTTATTGCATCACTGATCATCAATGACAAGACGCTTCTGAGTCGATGACTCCTGTCGATTTCAATTATCACTTCGAATTTAAGTCATGCAACGTAATTTCATTATCGTAAGGTCCATGTACTTTAGATTGTAATTTAATTTATTTAATTTATTTAAATTATTAATGTCAACTTCACGGTCACTAAGTTAATGAATGATTGATTCATTTTTTTTCACGAATCATTGCCGTGAAATTTATGTAAGTGCAATAAAAAACATTTCATCACTGTAAAATATGTTTCAATGTTGTTCTTTCTTGAATTACCGAATCATCCCCTCAAATTATGAGTTCATGTTGATTTTGTGGACAAGTTTTTGCGACAAAATTGTTTCAATTTCGGACAGTATTCGATGATTTCATCCTTCATTCTTAATCATCTCGATTTATTTATTTATTTATTTATTTCTTTAAAATCGACTCCTCCCGCTTTCAATTATCTCTTCGAATTTAAGTAATTTAAGTCATCCTCTAATTTATTTAAATTATTAATCTCAACTTTAAACTTCTCTCAAACGAATTTTATCACTGAATAAATTGTCATTACCCCCACACCAAAGAGACAGGACCAATAACAACAAAAATAACATAATTTTCCATTAGTTTTTCTTTCTCAATGTATTTCTATAATCATCGTACAGTATAATATTCATGAAATTAATAATATTTAAACATTATCTTGTGGTATGCATCGTGTGACCGGATTACGTTACAAACAAGACTAGCTGATGGTTGCCTTCACAGTGCTACCTCATTTTTTTTTTCATTAAATTTTATTACTCACTCTAAATAAAAATTTTCCCCCTCAACTTCTCTCTATCTCACTTACTTCTCATGCTAAATCGTTCAATTGTGTTATGCATGATTCAAGAATTTCATTAAAACATTTTCTATTCAGCTTTATTTCCTTCGAGTAGTTCCATTCCATTACTTATTCCTTGGCAGCGATGAACGACTGAATCATTGAATGTTGAGTTTTCTTCATTACTCTTCATGTATTATTTTTATCGTTTTGTTTTTTATATTTTTGTTACTTTGAGGGAAGCCCACTCGTACCGATACAACGAACAGATAAATCAATTGAATTTGACATCCAATTATTAAAAATCATCAGCATTTGAGATATCTTAAAGGCACAGGCAACAGGTGGACACAAAATTCACAAATACATACAAATATTGACTATTCATAGCACGGCCGGTTTCAAAGACATCATCAATTGCAAAATAAAAAACATTAATGCTTCCTATTAATTTCATTTCACTCTCCCTACTCCTCATTGATTAATCGTATCAGCCCAGGCCAACGGACACCGGTAAATGGTAAATTAAATTAATTATCCTAGGATATACAAACAACAGAATAAATTAGTCTGGTAATGAATCAGAATAGAAAACAATTGTTCGAGATTCTCCAGGATTTTTTCCTCTCTCACGATGTACGATTATTATTGTTAACATTATGTACGAATAGTGGCTTGAGTGGTGAGAGGCTGCAGGATAAATAAATTACTTCTCTCGTAAAGCTTCATCGGTATAACACAGAAATTGGGTATGTGGAAATTATAATTGGACTGGTTTTGACGCTATCTGTTGCTCCTTCAATCCATAAGAGGGCGAAAGTATAAGTTTCATTGGACTCTATTACATACGAAATTTCGGAGATAACGCCGCTAATGATTTTTTCATCAGTTATGAAGAAAATTGAATAGAAAAACTTGGCTTGAAAATTTTTACCGGATATATTTTACAGAAAAAAGTCTACAGTTGGAATTTCCTGTAAAAATTCGTGGACATAAATTTTTTGATTTTTTTTTTCATGATTTTGTTCTGCGAAATAAATGAAAATACAGAAAAAAAACTTGGAAAATTCATTTTTCAAGAATTTATACCCAGAAAACAAATGGATTATTTTACTCGAATTCTTACAGAGTTACACTAGAAATTCTGTCAAATTTTCTAATGAAAAATCCAATTCGTTCTTCGCACAAGTAAAATCTGCGATTTTTATTTTTTCTGTTAGAATCCTTGGAGACGAATTTTACAATTTTTTCCTGGAAAAATTCATGCCCATGATTTTTGTCAGAAAAATCAAAATCTATTAACTATTCCCTGAAATATCTTTGAGAATTTGTGCAAAAAAACCAATAGAATCTTTTAAAAAAGCACCAAGTTCATTTATTAATTTTCTCAATACGTGACAATTTCTTCTTGTTCTCTTAATTTTTGTTGGATCAACTTACGATAGTTCAAATTAATAGCTATATCATACATAACACTGCTCCATTACCCACTTTTAGCAGCAACAACTTCGTATTTACAATTTTTTTCATCTAACTAAACCTACAATTTCATTTTTTCTCACCTCATTTTCCTTAATTTACTCATTAATGTTGGTATGGATTATTTAACTCATCTCACGTTTTAAAGTCATCACCTTCAAAACATCATTCTCCATTCATTAATGTACTTTGTCTTCTCTTCTAGCAAAATCGGACAATACATATTTTTTTCTTCTTTATTCATTTTTTTTACGAAATAACTAGGTTGCCAATGCCTTCAAAATTCGGTAATACGTCGACAAATGTGACAATAAAAGTGCGCAAGATACATAGAGACATCGGGGTCGAATGTTATTTTTTTCTGTATTTATAAAAAAATGCCTATTATTTTTTCAGTATTTTAAGTCTGAATTTTGGTATTTCATTTCTCATTCATGTATTTTGCTCTGTTTATCATCTACGGACTAACATCTGACAGAGCAGTGGCAGTACTCGAAACTTGGTAGGATATATTTTTTACTTTTGTCTTATGTAAATTAATTCACCGAGTAAATGCACTTATTTATTCATGCTGTTGCATGAATAGCAGTGACAGGAACGAAAAAATGGAATTAAAATGAGGAACAGAGATTCACGTACTGAACAGAATATTTAACAGAAAAACGTAGCGAATTCTATAGAAAATTTTATTATATTTCTATTGAACCTCTGTTCAAAATTCAGTTAGTTTTTGGCCGATTCTATTGAAGAATTCCACAAGTTTACTGTGCGTTTTGCATTTTTTATACAATTTTTTCTAGTGAAACGTTTTCTATAGGAATTCCTCGAAATGTATTTCCAAAGTTTTTTCTATTCTATTATTCCTTTCTTTTCATTGAATAAAAAATGAAACAAAACAAAATTTAGAAAATTTAAGCCAAAAAAATCTATAAAAAAATCAAATTCTATTTGTATTTTCCTATAGAATATTTTCCATTAAACATATCTATTGCAAAAACGCACAGATAAACTGCGACTATTTCCAACAGAATCAGCGAAAAGCTAAAAGAAAGTTCCCCAGAAAACCAATAGAATTTCCATCCAATTCTGTAGGTATTTCAACGCAATATTTTCGCACGAGATCAAGCAAAAGTATCGAATACCCGTCAAGTTGCATCGAGAAATGTCAATCTAGGTATCTTACAAGGGGTAACAAGATGGAATAAAGTTGATGTCGGTCACCGAATTATTAATTTTCACCTCTTCAACATTGTAATTCCTAGAACTGCCTCATCAGCATTACGAATTATATCACAAATTGACTATAAAAATGAATCCAGAATCGCTGTTACAGACAATACAAAAAAAAAAATTGTCTAAAAGGGCCATCGGGTATTTCATCAGCGACAACTGAAACTAATTGGAAGAAGCAAAGTGGCTTTAGCAATTCCATTGTATTGATCTTCATTAATTACAGTCAAGGATTTATAAAAAACAATGAATTCGGTTGCCGACAAACTTTGCATGTTAATCGGCGTAACTATGGGTTAATGAAATTTTAATAATTCACAAAAATGTTTTTCAATTAAAAACATTGAAAAAGCCAAACGTATTGGAGCGAATAAAAGCGAATTATTTGTCGGGAGTGGCTGAGCTGTGGATATCGCTGAACAATTCGCACTTGTAAAACAAGCTCCATGATGCACATTGGCTGAGTTTTTGCATTACGGGCGATATTATTATCGTGATGATGATATCTCAGTGGGTAACGGGCATTGAGCCGTCAAACAATCATACGACACATACGGAGTACGATTGACAGGAGTGTAAACCACGCTGATCTGGCTAGGGAACTGCGGGAGAGTAGTACACGGAGGACAAGGAGTATTGTCCCAAACTGAATTGTCTTTTGAATCCAGTATAATCTGTAAAGATAATTAGAACATTTATTTATTAATAATTATGTCATTATATTCATAATTGTATCAATTAATGAATTCATAATGATGTAATTGTATTAAGTAATTATATTCCTATTAATTATGATAATTAATATGAAAAATAATTGATATAAATGATTAATATGATTCATATTAATTAAGATAATTAATTTTAGAAATTTAATATCTTGAGTATGTGGATGTATGAATACTGTACACTGTTAGAAAATGATTGAAATTGCAAATTTCAATGGAAATTCAATGGAATTTCAAATTTTTGAGCAACAAAAAAACGAGAATTCACCAATTTAGCCAAATTTTCAATCAAAACATGAAATTAAATTGATTTTTTTCTTCAAATTGCGAATTTTCAGTGAGTAAATCCTTTCAAATTATTATGGAGTTGTCACTTGACAAAAATTTCCAACTGTCCCAGAAATTTCAGCCACATCAGATATCTAGATATTCAATAAGATTGACTTCTAAATTCAAGACATTTCACTAATCGTCTGATTATCTTATAAATAATTCATCCAATTTCAACACGTTGAGATCCCTTCATCACTGCCATTCCCCTTTACCCCGAAAACCCTCACCACAAAAATAATTTAACAACTAAAAAGATAAAAAATCAACTCATTATTTTTCCCCTCCCCAAAAATCAATGGAAAAATTCCAAAAACTCACTTCATAATATGTGAACGAGCTGCTGGCAGTGTATCCGGGCTCTCTTTGAGAATAAAGTGTCGTATTCCAAGTATATAATTCTCTAAATACGATGGCCAGTCGATCTGTTTGACGTCAAACATGAATATTTGACGATCCTCAGGGCTCAACTGTTCTCCAAGTCTCCTAACATTGTCATCCCTAAAATTCCACTGTTGTGTAGTGAAATACTCGAGACAACTGGCTGCTTTACTCAATTTTGCTTGGACACGTAGCATCATGGGCCTCGAGCCCCTCAATCTAGCGAGAAAATCAAGAATGTGCGCTGGCAATATGTGCTGAAATGTACCAGATAATTTGTTCATTAACGAGTATTTTTGGCATCTACCACCCGGATACCACACAGCATCATTAGCCGGATGTATTCGACTGTATTTGAACGATAATTCGATAAATTGCTTCCATGTTATTGGATTTTGCTGGCCAGTACAGCAATTGTACACTGTTATGGTGTCAGTACGATGAGTTGCTGTTTTCCATGCTGCACATATCATGAGATTAATGACAATATCAACGGGAACAAAATCAGCAACTTTGTTCTCGTGACACAGCATTGTTCTGAAAAAACCCTTGCCAGCGGCTGCTATTATTCCAGTTGGGCCATTTAAATTGTCAACCCAGCCAGCAACAGGCTCTCGCAATGATGACAGCACGATTGACGGCCTGACAATGGCAACTGGAAGTGTTCCACTCTCACCCTGCAACATTGTCTCCGCAAGGGCTTTTGTAAATGTGTAGGTGTTTGGCCGACCGTCGATCAATTTTGGCGTCAATTCCTCGATTAGTTTGTCATTCATCCACCTTGTGCAGGCTATCACCTGCTCAGGATCCTGAGGCGGTGGATAAATTGATTCTGATACGTCCGTACGGTCGCAGTTGCAGTAGGCTGTTGACACGTGTATCAGAGCCTGAAACATAACATTTCTAGTCTTTATTTTATTCACAGGTAATTTTTCCTAGTTATAAAAGGGGAAAGTTTCGTGAAGTTTCGGATTGGTCAGTGAGTCGAGTGAAATCAATCGCGAAAAAACATGTAGTTTTTTCGAATTCTTCAGTTCTTTATATTCTTGAAAGAGAATTAATAAAAGTTTCAAAATTATTCATTAAGTTTTTTGCATTTGTAAAAGATCAAAATTGCGTGAAGTTGATCGTTAAAAAAACACGAATTCATAATTCTTCAATTTTATAAATTATTCTTGCGTCGTAATTGTCAATTTTTCCATCTTTATTATGCGCGAAATTGATTAGTTCTTCTTTCTTAGACTTTCATTCATCATATACTTTCATGAATCTCATCAATTTCAATTTCTTCAATCTCTTCTATTTTTTGACTTGAATATAGATTTTGAATTCTAGAAAACTGGGGGAAATCCCCAGTTGCATAAAAAATTCTAGGAAAATGTCCATGTTTGTTCTTAACGTGAATTTCTTTTTTTTTTTTCATTTTCATTCTTTACTTCAGTTAATTCCTTTGCATTTACTTTTGCGTTTTGTCAGTGGCCTGGGGACAAGAGTTTATGACCCATAAGTTAATTCATCTTATTTTAATTGTCAACTAGACGGTTTATATAAGCACAAGGTGTTTATCCGTTGGAATAGTTGGTCTCGTTACTCAGCTGTTGGTGGATATGAACAAATGTGGAGATGACTCTTTAGATAGTCACTAATGGGTTCGTGGAAAAAATGGAGAATAGAGGGGTCTAGGAGTGCAGTATGTGGACGTATGCAAATAGTTTATTTGCGTTGACGAATTGTCACGAGTGATTTTCTACGCATTTTTAGGGATGATGACATCAGAAAGACGTCTGACTTGATAAAAAATGCGATGATCCATTACGCATCGAGCTCAGATGACTTCTTAATTCGAAAAATCACCTTGTATTTGTTCATTTGAACAATTTTTTGGATTTATCCTTAAAAAACTGCGATAGGAAAAGTTTTGCATCTGCTCTTACATCTCCATTTGGGTCTGATCATGCAGTAAATATTGATAATTCGATTTGTCCTACCTCTAAGTTGACCATGCGATGGCAGAGATGCACCAGTTTCACACTTCCCAGCATGTTGATCATGACAGATAGCTTGAGAGCTTCGTCAAACTTGACTGTTGCTGCTGAATGAAAAACCACGGACACGTGTCTCGTGAGGGTCTCCTCGTCAGGCTCAGATATTCCTAATTCTGGCTCTGTTACATCGCCCGCGATGGGTACAATTTTCGTCAGCTCGTGAGGACTGTCACGACGAAGTTTATCGAAAAGCTAGAAATCCAAAAACGCACTCGTATTCAAATATATTTTTTGAAAACAATTCCAACAATTCAATTGAGTATTCTGCTCAAGGTTTAGGGTTTCCGATGACTTGTGATATGGAAACGTAGGGAAGAATTTAATAGAGAAAATTTCATTGGAATTCTGTGGTAATTCTGTCAGAAATTTTATTAACAATCGAAATCGAGTGGAACAAGGCAACTTTTTCATTTTTTTTTTCAATAAATATTGATGGGTAAAAGTCAGTGGACGTTGATTTTTACGTAAGAATTATTGGCCATGATTTTCTGGTGGAGTTTTCTTAGAATTCTATTGAAAAATGCTATTCACTCTGCATTTTTGAATGGATATTTTTCAACGAAAAAAGTGTAAATGTTGATTATTCGTGTAACTCATTCTGGTGGGATTTTTTCTGTGACTTTTCGAATACTTTTCTCTTGGATTGTATTATGAGAAACAAATAAAATACAGTGAAGAAAACTTGGAAAATTTGGCCCCAGGATTTCCCCAGAACATTTCATATAAAAATCTACTAAATTGGATAAAAAATTCCGTTAGTTTTTGAGTGATTCTGTTTAAAAATTCCGCAACTTTCCTTCGCGTTTTTTAATAGAAACATCTAATACACTATTTTCCGTGAAAAATCAGTAGAATTTCATCTTTCTATACAACTTTATCTACAAGAATTCCTCAATATCAACTTTTCAAGTTTTTTCACTCTATTTGTCCTCTCCTTTCATAAAAAATCAGCGGAGAAAATTTGAGCCGAGGAATTGCTATAGAAAATACCTAAATAAAATGAGTTATGCAAAAAGTTTTTGTAACTCAAACCACTTAAAAATAAAATTGACTCACCGGTGCATTCAAAAGCTCCTGTAACCTCTCCGTAACACTTTGACTCTTCTTCGGTCTCATTAATAAATAAATATTTTTAATCCCTGGGCAGGATCTCAACAGCTTCTCCACCAGGACTTTGCCCATAAACCCAGTTCCACCAGTAATGAAAATTGATCTTCCTCTGTAGAAGTCTTTGACGGACGTGTACTCTCCACCAGCCATCGTTGCCATTTCTTTGAATAAACTGTTGAATATTCTCTAAATCCACTCCTCCAGGGGGGAAGAAGCTTTGATTTTTTTCTCCTCGAGATCAGAAGAACGTGGAGAAAAAAATAGGGCTGACTTTGATGAGTGCGTTCGAGAGAAAATAAAAAAATTGAATTTCAAAAACGAAGACTTGGTTTATGCGTAGTTGGTTGATAATCAATAATGGTACTAGCACTTGGTATTCTCAATTCATCAGGAAAATGCATGGATCCAGCAACATTCATTTCGTTCGTGCAAGTCACCTTTCGCTATTCTGAAACAGTAAATTGAGTGATTCGATTATAAATCAATTACTGGAAATTATCGGGGAGTAGATTGATCGGTGTCTGAATTTTTTCTCCTGCGAGTGACGAACCTACTCTTCGCCACTATTTTTGTCGAGTGGAATGTACATTTTTTTCGACATAGAGTGACACTAGACGATAAGAATGACGATGACTACGATAACGACAGATAAAATTTTTTATCTATTCCCCTCCACCTCACTGGTGTAATTTTCTATTCTCATGTTTCATAATTCTGTAGCAATTATCTAGTTTGAATCGTACAGAGTTGTATGATAATCGCTATAATTAAATGCGATGAAACGATAAACGAGAACGAAAAAAAATTGCGCATTTGCGATCATAACTATCGATAAATTAACTTGTGGGTGAATTTTTGATGAGTATTTTTGAATCTGGAAGAGATAGTGGAATTTTATATCCTAGAGGCGAATGAGAACTCCAGAAATGGTTTTATGATTTTTTTTCTCGAGATGTCAATTAGTTTCTGGAATTTATTATCAGGTGAGACGAAACAACGCTTAGATCGTCAATTAATTCTCATTTGAAATGAAAAAAAAATCGTTGAATTCCACTCAGCCAATCTCGAATTATTACAAATGAAAATTGCTTTTCAGTTAAAACTCAGTTAAAATATTCAGGTAAAACTTGAATCCAATCGGAATTGATTCATCGTTCTCATAATACTATTACTATTAGTTCCCATAAACAAACCTCTTCAAGTCGTTCATATCTCACGCCCGAGCGATACGATTCGGCCAAATTAATTCTCATTCTGACGCCTCAAGAAATACTTTTGAAACGAAAAAAAAAATCGTTGCATTTAACTCAGATGATCTCGAATTATTCACTCTTCACCCTTTCTCCCCTTAATGGAATTAAATGAATGGATTATACCAGACTCTACAGTTTTTCCAGACACGTGTCTTTTCCCACTCTCATGCCCCCAGATATCTCAAAACTCCAGCAAAAAGTTGCTGATCTGGGGACTGACAGTCGTTGTTTTTTACTGAATGTTAAATGTTACCGTCACTTCTCGGAATCCACGTATCCTCGCACCTCCATCAAGGATGAACCGACCCATAACAACTGGAATAACTCCTCCAAGAACTAAATTTTTCAAGCCAAAAAATTGTAGAATGACAACTCCACTGAATGGACTTGACTCCCCGCAAAAGATCTCCGATAATGCGAGTTAAAACCTGAATTTAACTGAAATGTGACAGAGCGTGAAGACATGAGTTGCGATATTCTTTTGTCATTATAATCATCGGCAACCTTAACCTGATTACCACTTACTACCACCATCCCATTTCCGGTGCATAGAACAGATCGAGAGAATTGGAGTGACTAGTGAAGGAAGAAAACGAGAGCGACACGTGTGAAAAAAAATTCATCATGGAAAAACCTGGCGAATCCGCTAGAAAGTTCTATTGGATTTCTACTGAACTATCTGCGCATTTTTTTAAATAAAAATGTTTAATGGATAATGTTTTATAGAAAAAATCAATAGGACTTTTTCTGTACAACTTATTCTGTCGAGAATATATTCTATAGAAATTTCGTAGCTCAAATATTCGAATCCCGGAAAAAATAGACCAAGGGAAAGAGAAAATAGACCAAGGGAAATTTTTAAGTTGGGTGGGTTTTAACACGTTTTAGATGTGTGGGCTATTTTTTCCTGGTCTATTTTTTTCGCCTACCGAAATATTCTAAGTTTTTTGGTTTTTAAATGAAAAGAGAAGAAAAATACAGTGGAAAAACTTGGAAAATTCATATCGAGAAATTCCTATAGAAAATATCGCAATAATAGAAGAATTTGTATAGAAAGTAATGAAAGAAGAAAACGAAATAGAACAATTTCATAGAAAAACCTGACGAATTCGCTAGAAAATTCTGTTAGATTTCCATTGAACTTTCTATTAGTTTTTCGCAGCTTATCCGCGTATTTTTTCAACAGAAGTTTTCAATGGAAAATATTCTATAGAAAAAATCAATAGAATTCTATTTTTCTGTATAACTTGTTGAGAAACATTCTATAGAAAATCCCTTGGCTCAAATCTTCCAAGTTTTCTTCTTAATTTTTTTAAATGAAAAGAGAAGAAAAATTGATTGAAAAAACTTGGAAAATTCTATTGGATTTCTATTCCACACCGAATTTTTTTTCAACGGAAATATTCAATGCAAAACATTCTACAGAATAAATAAATGAAATTTGATTTTTCTCTACAACTTATTCTATTGAAATATATTCTACACAAATTATTCGGTTCAAATTTTCCGAGTTTCCTTTTAGATTTTTTTAAATTAAAAGAGAAGAAAAAGAGAGTGAAAAACCTTGGAAAATTTCTGTCGATAAATTCCTACAGAAAGTGCCTCAATAGAAAAATTCGTAGAGACATTTGTTATTAACACAACAACATTTCCTATTAAATTTTCGATGAAAAAACGTGCAGTAAAACTGCGGAATTCCTCAATCGAAGTTCAATAAAAATCCAATAGACCTTTCTATGGAGTTCGCAAGTTTTTCTATAAAATTTTTTCAAGCCTGGAGAGATGAATGGCGCGCAGGCGTGGAACTCTTTCGTATCTCATTCACGTACCCGTGCGCCAGAGGATGACAGTCATATCACATATCTACATATACATTAATACAGCTCGTACACATGTTTGAAAGTGCGCGTGGAGAACACGGGAAGCGGATTCTTGTGGGGATTCCAGGTCAGCGGCCAGGCGTCAACCGTGGCGGTCACCCAAATACACCATCCGAACCCTCAGACTTGGCGATATACTTGAAGAATCCCGGAGAATGGAGGAAAAAGATGGAATAAGGAAGACACCGACCCCGTTACGGGGGAAACCCGTTATTCTATCGGTTCGACGCCTATGCGCTCCTGGTGTTGATGCATCATGTCTGTTGATACATTGTTTTTTAGCAGTGGGTGGGGACGCGGGTGGGAACTGCAGCGGGGGAGCTTGGGATTGGGAGGATCATCAACGGGGTTTCTAGTTTACGAGAGCCCGAGGTGACCTTGCATCTACTCCGGAATTTTCCAATTAATGGTACCATTAAAACTGAAAAATTAAGAATTTTTTTTTCATTGTTTTTTGAATAATTAAAGGTGAATCAGACGGATTGTTGAAAATTTCTGGCTGAAATTTTCAAAGTTCTTGGAAAATTTAGCGGGTGTCAATTCTTCTGGAAGTTTGTATTGGAGAATTCACAATTTCCATTGATTTTTCAATCAAATTGGGAATTTTTAAAGTGAAATTGATTTGATTTTGTCATGGAAAATTCACAATTTCCATTGATTTTTCCATCAAATTGTGAATTCCAATGGAATTTTAAGGAATTTGGTTTAAAAGAAAATTCACTATTTGATGATAAAATTGAAAAAAAATCAATGGAAATTGAGAATGTCAATTCAACTGATTTATGATAATCGAGAGTGGAGCTTCGAATTTCATGATTTTCTACCCCCTGCATTGAATTGAATGTCACTCTTCTAGAAATTTCTACTAAATCTAGGGATTAGAAAGATCATCAACGGGGTTTATAGTTCATGAGGCTGAGGTGACCTTGCATATACTGCAGGAATTTTGTAATTAATGGGATTTTCATTGTTCTCGAAATGAATAAAAGTGAATCATATGGCACTGTCGACAATTTCAGTGAATTTTGTAATGGAAAATTCCCAATTTGATAAAAAAACAATGGCAATTCTGACTGTCATTTAAATGATTTTATGAGAATCTGACAATCTGAATTCATCATTTTTCACCCCTCAAAATTTAGTCTCTCATAAATTTCAACGCTCTTCCAATGAATAATGACAATTGATTAACGAATATTAGTGAATATTTTAAAAAATTCATCAAACAACATGCGTCCTTCAAAATTTATTCCGCCCCAAAAAACTTCTCTCGACCTAATCCCCCAAAAATCGATAGTTCCCGAGATAAACTCCAACCACTCGGACTTCATCCATTAGTATTCCCATCGGAATAAACGGAGAACTATCTCGATGCCGCGACCGGTCATTCACTGGATCATTGGAACTCTCAGATGCCGGCAATACCGGTTTCAGCTCGTTTCCGGCACATCCAACGAGATGGTTAGTTGGACATGCGGATGACACGGGGGAAACAAGGATACTCCGCTTGAATATCGTAGCGAATGGCAATACATGGTAAATAATGTACAAACCCGGGATGATATGTGCAAGTGTGCCACTCGGTCACTCATTTCCGAATCCATACTGGCGAAAAAAAAAATAATACGAGGGCGGATAATCGAGGGAGAAAGAGTCATGAAATGGAGGATATATTTTTTTCAACTTCTTCGCTACGTGCGAATTTTTCTTTACATTGCCAAGGCTCTCGGGCTCTAACGCGACCTACTTTCTTATCTGAATATGGAATCTAACTCATGCTGAGCATCTGAATGAGCTGAGGATTGAAATTTTCAGTATAATTATTGATACCGTAATGGGTAATGTCAACAGTTTAAAGTAATGCAAACATAACTCAAATTTTGAAGATTAAAATCTGAAATGAATTCCAAACGAGAGTGAATAAAAATAAAAATACTGTGGTTGGGTTTTTGCTCAATCGGCAGTCAAGTATTGTTCATAATAATTAATTTAGAACCGGAAGAATAACAGAGAAAGGCTTATGAACAAATTAACTTTTCGTGGAATGAGAAATAGAAATAAGAATTCCATGGCTAATATTAAAATTATCGTGTCATAACGTTTGTGAGAGATAATTTTTGTTCCGGGGTGCCCCGAAATGACGTGTTGTGTGGCAGTGGCAGCGTTGCATTGGTTGCACGCTGGTCATGCCATGGAGAGGGAATTATTTTCGAATGTACAGAGTTGCCACTGATCGAAACACCCTAGTCAAACGAGAGACTAATGGGCAAGAAAATAATTGGAGAAAGAATTTGATGAATTAAGTTCGTGTAAAG